GCAAGTCCTACTTGTTGGAAAAGGGACAAACGTGGTGTACATATGCATACATAAATAATATATGCATAGTGCACACTAAAGAAAATGCTGAAACTTTTAAAAATACTATTCTGGGGAAAGAAAGAGAGGGGGGGCTGTGACAAAAGGGTAAAACTTAATTTCATATACTTAACTATTATTTGAAGTTTTGTCAAGTATTACTTGATCACTTGATCACTTGACATCTCGTTACTCATCGATTTGCTCTAGTGGGCACCAGTAACTTCTCCATTCATCCCTGTCACGTGCTAGTGTAGCCCAATGGCATCTACTCGTTCTAGGAACAGGAAGAGTCTCAAATCGATTGTTCACAGTCTTGAGGAAGAAGTCTGACCATCTTGTAGGTGAGTGGCCACACGATCTTTTGATGTTGTGTGGAATCCAATCGGTAATGGCTCTAGTCCAGTGGTCATCTCCAAATCTCATTATGTGTCCAGCCCATCTGATTTTCAATGCCTTGGCAAATGAGACAGCAACCCTGATTCTTGATCGTCGACGGAGGTTGGAACTCTGAATTCTTTCTCTCACTTGAGTGAAGCGTGCTACTCCAAGCATAGCTCTTTTGATTCCTCTTTGGGAGACCCGAATAACATTCTCATCCTGTTTTCGTAGGACCTGGGTCTCTGAGGCATGTGTTAATGCAGGAAGAACAGTAGAATCGAAGAGATGTGCCCGGAGCCACAGGTTCTTCGTCCTCTTAGCTATTTCTTCGACGCTCTTGAAGGCATTCCAAGCTGCTCTCTTCCTCCTGCGCAACTCAGGTGCCAGGTTATTTGTCATTTTGACTTCTCAACCTAGGTACACATAACTGTTGCATTCAGAGATGTTTGTCACGTTGAGAGTGAATGGAATGTCGGAAATGAGACCATTTCTCATAAACACTGTCTTAATGAGATTCAGCTGAAGTCCGACCTTTCCACACTCACGGTTGAAGTTGATCAGCATTTATACTGCTTGACTAATGCGTGTTGTTATTAGAACGATGTCATCAGGGAGGCAGAGGTGGTGTAGTTGCCAACCGTCTATCTTCACTCCCATTCCTTCCCATTCCAGTCTTCACATGACGTTCTTGAGGGTGGCACTGAAGAGTTTCGGTGAAATGGTATCACCCTGCCGAACCCCTCTCTTGACATGGATGATCACTTCCTTGTAGAAAGGTGAGATCCTGGTAGTGAATCTGTAATACAGCTCATGGAGGATCTTGATGTATTGAGTTTAACACCCTGTTTGGCTAGGGCTTCAATGACCGCTTCCATCTCAACAGAATCAAAGGACTTTAAATCAATGAATGTTAGACAGAACATCATCTTGAACTCCAGAGAAACCTTAATGAGCTTGATTATCATGTGGATATTATCAATCGTGCTGAATCCTTTTCGGAAACTGGCTTACTCGATTGGTTGTCCTTCATCTAGTGTTCTGCCAATCCTATTCAGAATGACTCAAGTGAACAGCTTGCAGATAACAGACAACAGGCAGATCTGATGATAGCTGCCAATGTCGTGGATGTCTCCCTTCTTGTACAGTAGAACATTCGTGCTGGTTTTCCATTGGGATAGAACCTTGCATTCAGACAGGTAGTGTGTGAAGAGCCGAGTCAGTGTATGGATAAGTACTGATGGCAGGTTCTTCAGGTGTTGGGTCTGACCTTGTCTAGGCAGGGTGCTATTAGCTTCTTTACCAACAAAATGGCGTGTCGGATTTCAGAAAGAACGTTGGGAGGGAACGACATTCCATCCTGCGGAATTTGGTATGTGGGCAGGTGGATGTGGCTATCAAAGAGATCCAAGCAGAAGTCATTGATAATCTTCTCCATTGCCCTTCTAGAAAATGTGATAGATCCATCAGGACATTGGAGGGCAGTCATCTTGGTCTTGTAGTTGGAGGACAGGTGTGTGTTGCAAATGCTTTTCCCGGCTTCTGCTGTGACCAGCACTGCTGCTCTTCTCTTTTTGAGGTCTTCCTTGATCACTTCTCTGCACTGCTTTGCGAGCTTGGATGTTTGCTTGAGGTTGCCTGAGGCTTTCACCAAGCCACATCGATGAATGAGCTAGAGATTTTTGAAGACAGGCATCTTTTTGTGGCTATCTCTCTCTCGGTGTTCCTCGCACAATCATGGAGGTGCTGAACCAGTCGATTGTATTCCTCATCAATGTCGTCAACAACAGCATCTTCCCATGTTGCTGCAATGGTGCCAAGAACTCCCAGTTGGTGGTTGTTCTGGGAGTTCTCTTCTTAAACTTTGTAGCCCTTTCTCCCCGCTCTGTGAAGTAGAATTTTGCACGAAGGAGATGGTGGTCTGATCCCTTTTGGAATTTTGGGACAACAACAACGTCAGGCAAAACCGTCAATTGAATATGATGTAGTCTATTTCATTGTGGAATCGTCCACCGGGAGACTCCCATGTCCAACGTTTAGGTTCTGCCTTCTGGAACTGTGAGTTACCATGGATGGTCTTGGTCGACATGATGAACTCAGACAGTCTCTCACCCTGTTCGTTCCATTCTAGGCCATGGGAGAAGTTCTATAAAGAAGACCACACCTACAAGATCATTGTCGGTGATTTTAATGCCAGTATAGGACTGAGAAGATCAGCTGAAGAACTCCAGATAATACTATGAAATTAAAATAACTACATAAATAATTGGGCTGGAGCAATAGCATAGCAGGTAGAGTATTTGCCTTGCACGTGGCCGGCCCCCCGGTTCGATTCCTCCACCCCTTTCAGAGAGCCTGGCTACCAAGAGAATCCCGCCCACACGGTAGAGCCTGGAAAGCTCCCCATGGCATATTGCTTATGCTAAAAACAGTGACAACGAGTCTCACAATGGAGACGTTACTGGTGCCTGCTTGAGTAAATGAATGAACAACGGGAGTACAGTACAGTGCTACAGTGCTACATAAATAATTAGAATCTAAAAGGAGTAAAAAGTGTGAATAATATATATCAGGCACTTATTTGTCATACGATTTTGGACAATCACGGTCATGACTATCCTGTTGTTCATCAATTGCCTCGAGCAGGCCCCAGTAACGTCTCCTTCGTCCTAGTCCTGAGATTTTTTAAAAAGTGCCATATTCAAGGCTCTTTCAGGGTTAGGAGAATGAGACCCATCATTGTTACTGGTATTTGGCATACTGGGTACACCACGGGAGTTTGCCAGACTCTGCCGTGTGGGCAGGTTACATTTGGTAGCCTGCATTTTGTCCAAAGTAAGAATGAGATAATAAGATGTCGGCTTCCTGGAGCTGGGTTTTATAGTCTCTGGGTCTTGGCCATTGATGGGATTACACGGCACCAGGGGGCCAGTTTGTGGGTGTGACCCCTGCCTACTAGAAGATGGAGGATCTGGGTGGAGGATGCTCAGCCCCGATCCGAGCAGGCTTGAAGATCTCAGTCCCGGGACCCACAAGCCTTTGTTCCTCTGCCAGTACCTTCATGCGTGTGGAGAGTGGTCTCAGCAAGGTACTGGCAGAGGAACAAAGGCATGCAGATCCCATGACTGAGATCTCCAAGCCTGTTCGGATCGGGGCTGAGTATCCTCCACCCAGATCCTCCATCTTCCAGTAGGCAGGGGTCACACCCACGGGCGCCGTGTAATCCCATCAATGGCCAAGACCCAGAGACTATAAAACCCAGCTCCAGGAAGAGAACAGCGCAGAGTCTCTTGCCCCCACAACTGGCTGTCCACACCAGGACCCCTTGGAGGGGAGTGGGTTGAGTTTCCCTCCTCGCCCCGACCAGGCCTCCGGCAGCCGAAGATCTCCAGAACCAGCCACCACCATGCTGAGACCACAATTTTGGACATGTCACTTAAATTCCCATGAATTAATTTTGATACTCATATTTGGACACAGAACGTGAGATTTAATAAAGTTAATGATAAAAGTTCATGGTATATCTGAGAAATCCAAACCACAAAAAGAATTTTATCCAGAAACTGGAGGATATCCTGTTAAGTGAAGCAAATCAGAAGGACAAATACCAGTGATCTCACTTATCTATTGTATGTAGAACAACAGGATAAGGGAGTTAAGGCATCAAAGTGGGTTTACCTAGATTATCCTTAACCCTAGATGATGTAAACTAGAATGACAAGGAAGTAAAGAAAGCAAAAGGGGGAAGAAGAGAAGAATGGGAGATAACAGGGTAGGGATCAGGGTCCTCAGGCACATTGGTTGTGTAGAGATAACATTTATCTATATATCTAAACCACAGTGCTAACATTATAAGCATTAGATCCAAACTATAAAAAAGCAAACTTAAAAATGCTCCTGACAAGGAGGCAGGTTGGAGGATGGGACGGAACTTGAGGACCTTGACGAAGGGAAGTTGACACTGATGGTCAACTTATTGAATAATTTTATTTCAACTATTGGATAATTGGTCAATGTATTGAATATTTTCATTAAATATTGAATTCATTGAATATTGAATATTGAATTCATTGACTATTGAATTCATTGAATATTTAATTCATTGAATACTGGTCAACTTATTGAATATTTTTATTGATTATTGAATTCATTGAATATTAGATATTGAATAATTGGTCAACTTATTGAATAATTGGAATAATTCCAATATCCCACTGGTGTTGGGATATTGCATTCCTGAAACTCTACTATGAATAATTTTATAAATCACAGTGACTTAATAAATATAAAATGTTTTAAAATAATTTTATCCCTTGTAACATAAAATATTACTGTAAGTTATAGGAAAAACTACTCTTTATAATTTGGACACATCTTGATTAGGCATACTGTTCTTATTCAAAACACACAGAAAAATAAAATGGGGAACATCGCACCTAGATCCGCCCAGCTCTGCCTGGAGATCAGGCCGTTGTTCTCAGTCAGACTTGGGAGTGGAAATGGAAGTAATACCTCTCCCTCCTGTTTAAACACTGGAATAAGCAGCAGATGTAAGACAAGGGTCCCAAATAATTTTCCTTTACCTGCTGCCCCTGCCATGTGCTCATCCATGCTGAGAAGCAGTTCCCAGGCTGCTGGCTGGATGTCTCCATACATCTCCTCAGTCAGAATTGGTGCTGCCTTGATCAACAGAGATAGGGGAGCAGGCGAAAGGCTCATCACCTGAGAAAAACAGTAAGTCTTCAGATCTTGTAAGGCACTCAATGCTGTACTCTTCTTCAAACTTTAAATGCTACCCTTCTCTGCTTCTCTTAAATTATCTTTAAACATCTTTCTACAAAGGTGGCATATTTAATAGCACTTGAGTAATGAATGCTATACTTCATTCACTGATGCACAATTAGAAAGATATCCTATAAATGTTGTGCTTGCCACAAAATTGATTTTTCAACCTCAGGTACAAATTATGATAAACAGGCATAAATTATGAAAAAGAATGATAGCTCTATAGGAAAAGAAACACTCTCGTCAATATACTACTGGATTAAAAATCTTGAAGGACTTAAACATTTTTGTTTTCCTTCTTATTAGGATTGAGTTTCACTAAAATCTAAAAGGGTGTCAGCAAATTAATTTTCCAAGCAGTGTAAAATTGGATGTCATTTTCCTTCTGAAACAGGCATTATGGTTTGTTGCCCAGGTTGGCCCAAAACTTCTATTTAAGGATTATTCAGATAATTTAGGAGAATGCACCTATATATTTCAGGGAAATTTAGGTCTTTAACTATCATTTAAAAAAAAAATCTCAAAAAGGGACTGAAGTGATAGTTACAGTGAGTAGAGCATTTGCATGCAGCTGACCAAGGTTCGATCCTTGGTATCCCATATGAGCACTACCAGGAGTAATTTCTAAGCACAAAGCCAGAAGTAAGCCCTGAGCACCTCTGGATGTTGTCCTAAAGTAAAAACAGAACTTTCATTCTTATGTATGATCTACTCCCCTACTCCTTGAGCTATATTATTAATTTGGGTTTGGAATAACAATGCAATAAGATGTCAAACACTAAATAACAATATAAGGGTATTATTTTGCATAATCAATAAATAATCCTTTGAGACATGTGTGGCATTAATCCCCATTTTTATTCTATTAGGCAACTACAATTCAAAGAAATTAAGTATCTTGTTCGTGGTCCTACAGCCAAAATAGCAGATAGGGGATTTGCACTCTGAATATCTGATTCCAAGATGTGTTGGCATTGCCATTGCAGACTGGTGGGAAATTAGCTCTGATGGAGAGAGACAAGAGGGAAAAGGCAGGTTTCCATCCAAGTTCCCTAAACCTATTTCTGTGGAAATTGGCTCTCTGGCAAGAAGAAATTTTTTTGTACACTTGGTGGCACTCTTGCTTACCAATTAAATAAGCCAACACTGACAACTGGCATCATATGTTACAAACTTTGGTAATCGGGGTATCTGCAGCCTTATTGTTTTTTTTGAGAACATCTGGCTCAGGGATCAGTACCTGCAGTCTGATGTATTTCAGCATTCCTGAATCCTTTTTCCCCTCCAGGTTAGCATCTGAAACTCTCTTCTTCAATGAAGGTGTCCTCAGGCAGGATTTATCTGAGCACTGAAAAGAAAATGAGGTATGTGAGGAAACCTACTATCCTTGCTCAAAAACTAACAGTGCTGCTCAACCCCTCTCAATTATCCAAACAACCATCTTCCAGTGCAAGGTCTGTCTCATGAGCTAACATGTTCTGAAAGTGAAAAATAAACTTACTTTGCAATGCAATGGATCTTAGAGATAATGAACAACAAAAGACTACCATGGGGGAAACTGGGATCCAGAGTGGTTGAGAGAACTTGATCAAGTTGCAACGTTAGTGTTTTTTGAAGAACAAAGGACAAGATCTCCTAATTTAAAGTTTAAAGATAAGTATATTCCAACAGTCTATTAAAAACACTTAAAATATTAAGTCAGTTATAATCCACTTTATCAAATTCTCCCATAATAGGGTTTCAACTTTACAAGTTGACCACTTTGGTTGTGGATGAAAAGAAAATAAAGAAGACTATTAGGATTCAAAAAATTAAAAACCTCATCATACAAATTTATAGCATTCATCATCTAGGCCTTATTTGTATAAGGAAAATGGTTTCATTAGAGAAACACACCCATGTTATCTGGAGATGTGCCTCAGTGCTCAAGCACCTGGCTGCCATGGCGAGGTGCTGAGTGGGATCCCTGGCACCTCCTACACCAGCAAAAGCTGGTCCTGGTGCCTTCTTGATGCAGCAATGGGCACATCACAACCAACAGTACCCAAGAACTACAATCATACCTTGGGTATCCCAGTAGCAACAATAAAGGAAATCTCGTATTGCTTATAAGAGGCAGAAGTTCTTTCAAATTATCCCCTTAATTAGGTCCAAAATAGGGCTGACTGAGCTGCATAAGAACCAAACCACTGAACCAAACCATAACAACCCCCCACATCCCATGTCTCCCTAAAAGTTAAGAAATAGAGTGTGTAGAGCAGGTGGGAAAATGAAGGGTCTTGACAGTCACTGGTTCTTGTTTATCTTGATTCCTTCTATTTAACAATCAAGGCTCTGCAAAGAGAAGATCCATTATTTTTCACAGAAAAGATGCTCATTTTTTTTCCAGTGCTATGACAATGAAATACTTTCTCCCTGAAAGTCAGGGTTAGTAAACTGAACTACTTCAGAATGCCAAACAGAGTTCCACATTGTAATAATTGGAGGTATTTGAAAGAAAAGGCAAATCTAAAAGTTCATGTTTATTCCAATAAAGTCCTTCAAAACCCTGACAATAAGACTCAAGATAATGCATCTGGTATGGAATGAACTTTTAAAATTAATCTTCTTGGAGATAAATGAATCAGAGCTCTAGCTGTGTTTTCTAAAGATAAAAATGTGGAGGCACATACTTGGGAACATGTCATGTGGGGAGAGAAATCTACATTACTTCCTCTACCAAACTCCATGAATGCAAAGCAATATGTAACACAAATAGCATGCTTTATAATTTTTAAATATGCAGTAACTATGTAATCATTTCTATATATTGTTAAAAGTTAAGGTACTTAAAAGGGGAATTCTTATTTTACTATTAATTAAAAAAGACCATGCATGTTTCTCAAAAAACTAGAAATTGAGCTCCTATTAGATCCAGCAACACCAATTCTGGAAATATATCCCAAGGGTGCAAAAAAAGCACAGTAAAAATGACATCTGCACCTGTAAGTTAATTGCAGCACTGTTCACAATAGCCAGAATTTGGAAACAACTTGAGTGCTCGAGAACAGATGACCGGTTAAAAAAAATTTTGGTACATCTACACAGTGGAATACTATGCAGCTGTTAGGAAAGATGAAGTAATGGAATTTGCTTATAAGTGGATAGTCATTGAGGGTATCATGCTAAGTGAAATGAGTCAGAAAGAGAGGGACAGACATAGAATGACTGCTCTCATTTGTGGAATATAAAATATCACTATATGAGACTAACACCCAAGAACAGCAGGGACAAGGACCAGGAAGATTGCTCCATAGTTGGAAGCCTGCCTTATGAGATGGGGGAAAAGGCAGCTGGGATAAAGAAAGGATCACTAAGTCAATGATGGTTGGAGGGATCACTCGGGATGGGAGATGTGTGCTGAAAGTAGATAAACATGATGACCTCTCATTATCTATAATCTGTATTGCAAATCATAATATCCATAAGTAGAGAGAGAGTAAGAGGGTAATTTTCTGCCACAGAGGCAAGGAAAGGGGTAGTATGAGGGGGAGTGATACTGGGGACTTTGGTGGTGGAAAATGTACACCAGTAGAGGGATGGGTGTTTGATCAGTGTATGACTGAAACTCAAACATGAAACTTTTGTAACTATAGCTCACGGTTATTCAATAAAAATAGTAATAAAAATAAATAAATAAGATTATGCAAATTTCAGAATCTGGAAAACAGAAACTATGAAGAAAGAAAAATTCTTATAATTTTCAGTTCAATTATGGCCAATACTTGTTTCCTTTCAACACTTTTCACCAAAACCTTGAAACACAAATGTTATGATTTAGTACAAATGGCATATAATTTCGAATAATTCATTTCATCATAATTTTGTAATCATTATTTTACCAGGTCATCACAATTATTTAAAATATTATTTTTGATATTTATGAATATTTGTAAATATAAAATGTTAATGACATTTTGTTTTTACTCAGGCTTCTTTTTGAATAATACTTTTATATTAAATTATTGCTCGAGCAGGCCCAGTAACGTCTCGATTGGAGACCTTGTTGTTACTGTGTCTGGCATATCGAATACTCTCGGTAGCTTGCCGGGCTCTCCGAGAGGAGTGGAATATAAAATATCACTATATGAGACTAACACCCAAGAACAGCAGGGACAAGGGCCAGGAAGATTGCTCCATAGTTGGAAGCCTGCTTTATGAGCTGGGGGAAAACAGAAAAACACTAAGAAGAAAAGGGAAAAACACTTAGGTTTAGTGTTTTGCACTCAGAGAAATGGGGTACTATTTAATTCTGCTTGCTGAGGATAGCATGTGTAAGTAAGTCTTCTCAAATATAACATATGTAATATCCTGCCATGCTTTCTTGGGAAGCTTAATGTTCTGGTGGCCTTATGATAATTATGGTGCTTGTTTTAGTAGAATGGAAATTGAACTGGAAGAGATTTTGTACTATGATGATGGACTAGTTTCTTGAATGCTTGTTCAGGAATAAAATAACTTATCAGACAGGAGTACAGGATGATGGGAATACTCTCTAAAGATCCTATAGTTCTTTTAATTGTATGAGTCCTATTTCAGAAAATCAAAGCTATTATCAGTTGATTTTTTTTTTGGTAAATTGGTATTTACTTGTCAGAAGAGAGTTAGGAACTTGATGGAGTAGGTTAGTTCTGAAGGTATTGATTGGCTACCAATGCTTCTTGGAAGTGCTAGAAACTTTTCTGGACTGAAAGTTTCACATGTAGTTGGAATCACATTCCACCTAGGGCTTATAAAGACATTTAAAATATAGGGACATAATTTGCTACTAACAAGACAATCAAGGTAGGTTATTCAATCAACCTACCAATGGGAGGTTCTAGCAGGGGAGCGCAGCTACTCGTATACCCTCGACCGGTCCGTCTCTATCGGGGAAGGCCGTCCTCTTTGACCGAGCGCGCAGCTTCGGGAGGGACGCACATGGAGCGGTGAGGGAGGAAGGGGACACCCGCCTAGCCAGCCAGATCAGCCGAATCAACCCTGGCGATCAATGGGGTGACAGATGTCGCAGCCAGATCGCCCTCACATCCTGGAGCGATAGCACAGCGGGTAGGGCGTTCGCCTTACAAGCGGCCAACATGGCCGACCTGAGTTCGATTCCTCCGCCCCTCTCGGAGAGCCTGGCAAGCTACCGAGAGTATTCGATATGCCAGACACAGTAACAACAAAGTCTCCAATGGAGACGTTACTGGGCCCGCTCGAGCAAATCGACGATCAACGGGAGGGCCTTTACTTTACCTTTACTTTACCAATGGGAGCTATGATTAATAGAAGGCACATACACAACTTCAAGAGTGATCAGAGATTCTGAGGTAGGCTTGTTTGAGGTGATGCATAATTTTTACTATGGCATTTTTTCTATATGTTTAGACATATTTATTGCATTTGACATTAAATTTTCCCCCTTTCTGGACCACAAATGACTTAATGTGTAATGCAAACCATCATTTGACCATTCAGGAATTTATCAGTTTTGTTTGGATCAGGAGAGGAAGAACTGTACTATAAAATTCTTTTGCTAAGGTACTAAAATATATAGTCTAAATTATTTTAAGACGTACCTTTTATTGTGATATTTTATGGTGCGGAGAAATAATGATGCAAAATTGATTTTTTTTTCTAGTTTAAAGGCTAAATAAATTTGAGGAGCTAGTCAGGGAATGGAAAGGAAAGGAGAGATAGAGAAGTATTAAGAAGCAGATGGGAGGTTATATCTAGTCCAATATAAAAAGAGACCTTCAAAATTCCTTTTGTTTGTTTGGTTTGGGGCCATATCAGGGATGCCCAGGGGTAACCCACGTGGGTCTTAGAGACCATATGGGGCACTGGGGATGACCCAATTGACCGCATGCAAGGCAGGCACCCTGCCCTCTGTACTATTCCCTGGAAAAGAAACTTGCTCATATCTTGGAGTTCTAATTTTTCCCATATTCTGTCCCTTGTTTCATAGGATTCTGTTATATCTCTTTGCAAAATTCCCTCATTGATGATTTCGATATATTTCTACTCCTAAGAATATAGCAATATTAGCTAAGGAGACATAATGAGTACATCAAATAAAACATTTATTATCTATAAAATAATTCAACTAAGTTTATTGTGAGTTAATCACATGAGAATAACTAAGCTAAATTCTAGAGCTAGATTAAAATGTTTTGATGCTTGCCTTCATGAAGAGTGTATCTTAGTAAAACTTATAATAAACAAGTAAAGAAATTAAAAATAAAGGGAAGTAGGGAAAAAGATATTATTAACAATGGTACAGTTTGGAAGTAATATGGGACATCTAGGTTTTGGGAAAACTGAAGATAGTGTACAGGCTTCTTGGGAAAGGTATTTAATCACTTTGACCCTCCTCTATTCTTTTATACTGAAAGGAAAAATCTTTCATCCAATCCTCTTTTTGCTATTAGGTACTGATTAAATTTACACTCAAGATCATAGCATTCAACAAGGTATTGATGTATAGGAAAAAAGAAACTTTCTGAGCAGGCAAATTGCATATGTAGGGAAGTTTATATGATATTTATGATGGTTTATTAAAAGCTCTCTTGTTTAAAAGTGCACTAAAATAGACTAACAGAATGAGTCTCTGAGCACTGAAATCTAAATTAGCATATTGATCAGCATGGATAGGTTACAAAATGTACTAGCAGACACAAACATCTTCTACCATAAAAACCAATGAAATAGGAAGCAGTAATAAAATATCACTTGCTCATAAGATACAATTCTAATCAGAACCACTGCTTTTATTCCTGATTTATTGCCTACTATGTTTTCATTTTCCTCTGAAAATGTGGGCATTGTTCATTTATGTGACAGAATCAGAACAGGGAAATGGAAACATCATGAGAAAGAGAAAAAGAGTTTGAACAGGAGGCTGGCATTTGGGGAAAAAAATGTTTATCACAGAAGACTCAGTACATCTCTTTTATTCTCCACTCGCATGAATCATTTAAATGTGTTAAGGTCACAAGATATTTGCTCTTGCTTTCTGTCTTTCTGTTCCCTCTTGCTTTCTAAAATATAAGGAAAAATGAAGAAACCTTTGTTGCCTTTTATGCTACATTGGATGAGCATCCTGGCTGAGTCAGAGATAGAGGAACTCACAAAATACTCTATAACTATGCATCCCACTCAATCATTCAGTATTTACTGCCGCTCAGCTAAAGGCAAGGTACTCTATTAGGTATTATGCACATTATGAGACGTTTAACTGTCTTTGTTCTCAAGATGTCTATACTCAATGTGACAGAAGAGAAATATGAGTATCAAAAGTCCCACCCCATTTTGCAGTCAAAATGATCTTAAACTCTCTGAGTACTTGTTATTACCCAAAGGATAAAGGCACAAATCTTCAAGTACCGGAAGGAACTACATGATCTTGTTTCTGACTCCCTTTGTACCCTTATCATGCATACAGATGTCTGCACTCCAATGATTCTTCACACTCACTTCTCCCTGGTTAGAAAATCCCATATCCAACTGATTTTTATGAATCCTTCAGAAAAAGCTCATCTACCACTTCATTGTGGAGACTATACTGCTTCCTCTTCTAACTTCAAATCCTGTTTATAAAATTCTTTTCTTCATTGTCCTTGTCACTCTTCACAATTTAACATAAATTGGGGACATTTATTTGATTATGTCCATATGGACACTCTACATCGTCTAGCGTTAGGGACCTTATCTCTTTTGTCTCTTATTATGCCCAGTAGATAATATGGATTTGGTATGGTTCATATATTTTCAAAACTTTGTCAGCTATACAAATGGGCTTAATAAATGAATGATAGAATTAATAAGTGAATAGTCAGATTTAATAAGGTTAAGTCATTCAGTTTAGTAGATTTAGTAAGTGGATACTTTAATAAAGAACAATAAAAAATGTAAAATGCCATTGTAAGTTATAAAAGGAAGGAAAAAAATATTTATCACTCATCTGCAGCATGCCCTGTGGATAACACCAGGGAAATCAAAATGGTCTTCAGGGAGGATATTATTTGAGTAAAACTTGAAGGTCAACCTCTGGGGGCACCACAGAGGAGGGTGGGTGAGAGCCCTCCCTGCCTGAAGGGACACAATCCTGACAGCCGAAAACCTCCAGAACCTAACCACATAAACTGAGGACCCAACCCATACTCAAAGGCTGCTCCCCACATGCTCGGGCCTATTTCTGGAATAAGACACACCCTACCCATACTCCAAGAGTACTGCACCACATTTCATGGGATTCAAATAATAGGCAACCATCACAGAGGAACATATACATATATATGTGTGTTTATATATGTATTTACATATATATATAAAAATTCACAAGACTCAACCTTAACAACATGTTAGTGATCTCTTATAGAAGGTCTTAACGGCCCCTGCCAAAATAGAACAATCTTCACACTCTTTCCTCTATGGATACTTTTTGTAGCATTTTCAGTGATTTTTCATAACAAATAATACAATATATTATTTCAGTTCTGCTTTGGGACAGAGATTGGGGTTGGGGATGGAAACATCCAAAATATGGTAGTTGGAAGGTGTAATGGTGGTGGAATTGGTGTTTGAATATTAAATGCAACCAAATATTGTGAACTCCCTTATAAAATAAAAAAGTTTAAAAAATAAGCTTGAAAGTCATTGGTGAATGAACTGATGGCAGCAAAATGTATATATGAATGAGCATTGCTAAGTACAAGCATTAATTTAGGCGTTGTGTTTTTGCAACTCCTAACATATATAGTTTTTTTTCCAAAGAAGAGTTTATATGTGAAGAATATATCTAAATTAAACTAGACTTCCCTTCTGTGAAAACAAAGTAATGCCTATTTAAGTTGAAAGAAAATTTGTTTTCTTTGAATATAGCACCATTTATGTTTGAGTACATATACATTAAAGTTATATGTATATAGGTAGATTTTTTTATCATTTAGCAATCTAAGCAGTTTATTACTGACATTGCTCTATTAGCCACAGAACTGGTATAATTTGAATAATATGAAGTGTAATACAATCTAGTTTAAAAAGCTCTGACTTGAATAGTCCACATTTCTAAATTAAAGTCTGAATGAATATGTGAAAGTGGTGAACCATTTTTCTGATCCTCAATTTTTTTAAATCTGTAAAATGAGTAAAAGAGCATCTATTACACAAAGCTGGTATGAATAACAATGCACTTTACTAAGATATATATTTTATTAACTCTCACATAGATACTTTGAAAAAATAGTAAAAAATAATATCTCAGAAGATAAATCAGCACACTTAGGCGATTCACAAGGTATATACTTTTTCTTCCCAGCCTCTTATATTATCCAATATGTCTTCAACAAACTTATATTGCTTTTATAATTCAAAAATAGTCATTGATACAAGCTTTTTGCAAGTGCTAAAATATGAAAAACTACATCACTAAGCTATGTATTTTCTTTGCTTGCTCACGTTCTACTTGTTTGTCTCTGTGTCTCACAGAGACCCATGGCAGAAAGAGCTGCCGGGACACTGGCCTGCACCCACTTGGGTATCTTGACCCTTATCCTGTTCAGGAGCAGGTGGGTAATGAGAATTTTGCTGGCAGGAGCACAGCAACCCTGGTGACTCTCTTCATCTTTTGCCAACTTGGCTGTTTAGTGAAGCTGTGTGGAGGGTGCAAACTGAATGCTTAGAACATGCAATGGTCTCTTGAAAGAATTTCCATTCATCCTATTACACTGTTATTTATGTGTGAACTGTTTGGGCATTTATTACTCATAATTAAGTGTATGAGTTTCCTATAGCTGCTGTAACAAATTACTATTAGCCTCCATGATTTTAAACAATACAAATTTATTATCATATAATTCTGGGAGTCAGATGTCTAAAATAAACTGGTAGACTGTGTTCTTTCTGGACACTAGAGACTGGGAAATATTTGGAATTACCTATTCCCTGATATTTCCCAGTCTCTAGTATCTACCCACATTCCTTGGTTCATCACTGCAGTCTCTACTTTTACTGTCATGTCTTTTTCTATGACTGTAAGGTGACATATTCTCTTAAATTTATAATTACATGAGCCCACCCGAATAATTCCAACTGATAAGCACATTTCCTTTTGCCATGGGAGATAACACATTTATAGACACAGGGATTACAACACAGGTGCATTTGAGGGAGGCTGTATTTTGCCTACCACAAAACCTACTTGTGACCACTATCCCTTCATGTTCATATTTATTCACATAAATAAGACGAAACCTGGGAAAAAACTTGATTATCATGATTTGAAAAAAATAATTTACATTCATTCATGATCACTCAGGATCACATAGCTCTGTGGATGGGTGACCCAATTGCAATAGCTTGAAATTTTTAATTATAGAGAAAATATTGTCAAAACATCATTATCCTTATAATTGAGATGCTGTTATACTGTGAGCTTTCCTCACCTCTTTCTGTTTTTTGCCCCGGAGAGCCACATTGGTGGTGTTGTTGCTTTCCCGGAGGGAGTCCACGGTGTCTCCATAGAGTAGCTTAATGGCCCTTACCAGCCGGGCACAGGAACGACTGTGGTGCAGGTAGCAGTGTGGATGGCAGTAGTCAACGTGAGTGCAGATGAAGCTCTGCTGATTGCACAGCAATATCATGACCTGAAACACAGACCTCACTGAGATCAGCAACCAGACCATCAACTATAAACATTTACATAAGATAGATGATGAATAGTCTGAATGTGAACATTCTCTGATGGGTCTTGAAACCACAATGGTTTAATCATTCCCACAAAGGAACAAAGAGGTAGGCTGAGAAACTATATCAAAAGGCTGGAGTACACACTATGAGTGTAGGAGGTCTATGTTCAATGCCTGGCACTTCACAGTCTCCTGAATACTGCCGGGAGTGACTGACCCTTGAGCACCTAGGGCCCCCAAACAAAACAAAACATAACACAGAGCTATGCCATGTATTGGGGCCTTTCTTTCTCCCTTCATTTACTTTGGCTGAGTTTCTTCGAAATAAAAGATAAGAGATTTTCAAAAACTTAAAAATATGATTGTGGAGTATATGATTTCAAAGCATTGTCAAAATGAACATTTTAGCTTAAAGCATATTAATTTCTGGCTCTTCTGTCAGGCAAGACTCAATTACAAGAGCATAAGCTGGTGCATTATATTTTTTAAAAATGTTCTGAAGAGATAGTAAAACAGGTAAAGCACTTGCCTTGCATATGACTGACCAGGGTTCTATCTCCAGCTCCATATACAGTTCCCTGAGCAATGTCAGGAGTGATCACTGAGCACAGAGCCAGGAGAAAGTACTGAACACAGCAAGTATAGATTGAAGGTGGAGGTAATCTGGAAATATACCACTCAAAACTGTTTTCTCACATATGTGCCTTTGGTAGATAAGGTTTTTAATATAGTTTCCAATAATACCACTATCTGGTATTGAATACTTTCCAATCATCTTTCTGTTGTTTATGGGCTGGTCTGGTGACTTGCTTCTAATGGAACAGAAGGAGTAAAAAACAGCACAGGTGATTATATTTTCATGATTAAGTTGCATAAGAGGCTTTGATCATGACAGTTTCTCCCTTACTGTTATTTATTTTTTTTTGAGGAGGGGCACACCTGGCAGTGCTCAGGGTTTAATTCTAACTCTGTGCTCAGAGATTATTAATATGGGTTCATGGTATAATATGGGGTGCTGGGATCAAACCCAGGTTGAACACATCAAGGGGAGCACCTTACTCACTGTACTATCTCTCAGGGCCCTATCCCGTACTGATTTTGATGAAAGGTCATCTGGCAAGAAAAAGAGAGTACCACTAGAAATTGAGGTACTTAGTTAAAGATTCCAAAAGGATTAAAATTCTATCAACAAACCCTTTACTTGGAAGCAAACTGTTTCCCAGTCAAGTCTTCAGATGAGATTTCACATGCATATTTTCTTTTTGTTTTCATTTTTCTTTTTTATTGAATCACCGTGAGCTACAGTTACAAAACTTTTATGTTTGACTTTCAGTCATACAATGATAGAACAACAATTCCTCCAACAGTGTACATTTTCCACCACCAATGTCCCCAGTATCCCTCCCCCAACCCCCTCCCCCCCCTTCCCCCTACCTCTATGGCAGACAATTACCCTCTTACTCTCTCTCTACTTATGGATATTATGGTTTGCAATACTGTAGCACTGTAGCACTGTCCTCCCATTGTTCATCGATTTGCTCGAGTGGGCACCCGTAACGTCTCCATTGTGAGACTTCTTGTTACTACTTTTGGCATATCGAATACGCCACGCGGAGCTTGCTAGGCTCTGATGTGCAGGTGGGATACTCTCGGTAGCTTGCCGGGCTCTCTGAGAGGGATGGGGGAATTGAACCCGGGTTGGCCACGTGCAAGGCAAATGCTCTACCTGCTGTGCCATCGCTCCACAGATTACAGAAAATGAAAGGCCATAATGTTTGGTCTTTATCTACTCTCAGCACACATTTCCCATTCTGAGAGATCCCTCCAACCATCATTGACCTAGTGATCCTTTCTCTATCCCAGATGCCTTTTTCCTCAGCTCATGAGGCAGACTTCCAGCTATGGAGCAATCTTCCTGGCCCTTGTCTCTGCTGTCCTTGGCTGTTAGTCTCATATAGTAATATTTTATATTCCACAAATGAGTGCAGTCATTCTATGTCTGTCCCTTTCTTTCCAACTCATTTTACTTAGTACGATACTCTCCATGGTCATCCACTTATAAGCAAATTTCATGAATTCATCTTTCCTAACAGCTGCATAGTATTCCACTGTGTAGATGTACCAAAGTTTCTTTAACTGATCATCTGAACTCAGGCGCTCGAGTTGTTTCCAGATTCTGGCTACTGTGAGCAGTGCTCACCTGCATCTTTTCTGTGTTATATACTTGTGTTTTCTTTTTCTGGGGGTGGGCACACCTGCTTCTGCTCAGTGGCTACTCTGACACGATGCTCTGGGTCAGTGTTGGAGAAACCATGCAGTCCTGGGAATTGAACTCAGGTCTGAAACCTCGGTCTCATGCATACAAGCATGCACACTAACACTTTTTTGCTATATCCCTCACCCAAAAATGTGAAGTATTTGGATTAAACAACACTTTACTAAAAAAGAATAAATGTAGCAAAACTACTCCCAGTAGAGATAGAAAAACTACATGACTTTAATCATATACATTGAATCTATGTTCCAAAGCAAATAACTTCAGGTGTATAACTATTACCAGTTCTTTCTTTCAAATAATTAAATTTCACTGACTTTTCACTTGTAGAGTATATGAGAGGGCCTTTATAAGACTTCTAAGGTGTTGACAAAGTTTCTTTCCTCTCATGATAATTATATAGATATGCTGACTTCGTTAAAATCTACTGAGTTGTAAACATAGCCTTTATATACTTTTTGATATGTAAGTGGGGCTTTACTAAAAATTGCTTATAAAAGCGGCCTCAGAGATTCTCAAAATCATTGAGATTTGGAAAGCCTGAGAGTGAAGGCACAGCACCACAAACTCTGAGGACCATTGTGCACCAGATAGTCCTTGGATGACCTTGTCAGGATGAGAGATTAGAATCTGAGGAGATGGAGACAAAAAACTGCTGATGTAACTGCCACTTATGGAAAATGCACTAGCTCCTTCTCTTTCTCTTTACAACTTTCTTCATCTCAGATCCAACCTTAAAAGCTAATCTATACCTGCAGTATCCTTGGGTTCACTTCCTTCTGTGGCCTCTGAATAGGGCCTTTAAGAAGTGTCTTGGGGCTGGAGTGATAGCAGAGTGGGTAGGGCATTTGCTTTGCATGCAGCCGACCTGTGTTCGATCCCCAGCATCCCATATGGTCCCCTGAGCACGGCCAGCAGTAATTCCTGAGTGCAGAGCCAGGAGTAACCCCTGTGCATCGCCAAGTGTAACCCCCCCAAAAAAAGAAAAAAAAGAAGTGTCTTCCTAATTTTGGTATCTTGGTCTTTTTATTTGAACTAGCACACTCAAGACTGACAGCAGGATCTTGTTCTCACCCTTGGTGGTTATGTATATAAAACTGAGTGGGAACCTATGTCTGGGTCACTAAGACTATCTTGACCACCAACTTTGCATATTCCCTCATGGCTTTCTCCAACTTGTGTTCACACACATGAAATCCATAAAAAAAAAATAAAGACCCTGAGTCTGATTTTAAATTGAATAATGATCTAGCAGAATACCAAGTCTAGTGAGTGTTGAGAGGTTAAGATAAAATATCAGCCTCTTGCTTTTCTTGGAGGCTAAATTGGACTGCTGGTTTCAGTATAATTATCTATTTTCCCTCAATGTATCTTCCCGAATACCAACAGAAATTCATCCCAGACTCTTTCTGAGATCTCTACTTACATGAAGCCATGACATGTTCCTGTGGTAATTTTCCTCTGTACCAGCAGTACTTATTCCTTCTGGCTCAATGCTGGGCTCACTTGCACTCCAAGGACTTCCTTCTTCAAATGAAAAATACCAAGAAAAGTTGTATTATTTCATCTCCCTAGAGAGCCTGTTGAAATGGCATGGTGTCCCATGCTTTTGGATCCTATGGCAGACTACCTTGGCCCAGCAGGCAACACAGCAATATACTAACTGTAGTAGAGGAATAGTAATAGGAGATTTTCCCTTCACCACCAGTTGAACTGTAGAGTTATAAAACCATTAATGGTCTGTTACAGTGGCTTTCATTTTGAGACATGGGGAAAAACAGAATCCAGTTTCTAAGCTGTTGAGATGAGCAAGTTATTAGTTGAATATTCCCAGATCCATTCTGGACTGCTCATACCTTGCACACGTGGTTAAAAGGAACGCCCACCAATCGACAAGGCTTACTTTGTGTACTATGGTTCTCTACTGTTATGGCCACAACTTGTACTGGGGCTCTTTATACCACCTGGATTTATTGCCTGAGGCATTTAAGACAGATGGATGGTCATGGTCCTCCCGTTGTTCATCAATTTGCTCAAGGGGTTCCAGTAACATCTCCATCGTGAGACTTGTTGTTACTGTGTTTGGAATATTGAATACGTCACGGGTAGCTTGCCAGGCTTTGCCGTGCGGGCAAGATACTCTCAGTAGCTTGCCCAGCTCTCCGAGAGGGGTGGAGGAATCGAACCCGGCTCGGCCGGGCTGGCTGTGCCCAAGGCAAACGCCCTACCACTGTGCTGTCGCTCCAGTCCTAAAACAGACGGGTACTGGAGAAAAACTAATGGTGTTTTGGAAGCACTTGTGTCTAGTTTTGGACTACTGATTTGTCTAAACTCTACATTTTGTGAAAAAATGGAGCAAACATTATCAAGAATTTACTACTTAGTTTATTATACAGCAAGGCTTTGCTCTCAAATAAAAATATTTCTAGAACTTTTCTATGACAAAACTAAGCACCTAACCTAGATCATTTGACTCAATGGTTAAATTGATTAACTAAAAAAAATCATTAAAAATATTTTTTCTTCAAAACAGTAAGGTGGTTATAGTTACAGCCTTGCAACAGAAAAAATCAGAATGTTTTTTCTATTGTCTCCTTAAAAGTAGGCTGTCTCTTAAGGAATTAGATGCATAAATTAACTATTTTTAAAGGTGAGGGTGGTAGGTGTAGAAACATATCCTATTTAAAACTCTCCTTGATGAGATATACTCTTCTATTTCTCAGACTAGAGCCATAATTTATCAACATTTCCATGTCTGACCGATAGGAGAATGAATGTTTTATTTTTCATCATATAAGAACTGAATGGCCAGGACAATGGCTTCATTTGGGGGGTTGTTCTTAATTTTGGGCCATACACAGCTGTGCTCAGGTCTTATTCCTGACTCTGCACTCAGAGATCATTTCTGGCAGGTTTGGAGAACCATATGGAGTGATGGGAATCGAACCAGGTCAGTAGCATGGAAAGCAAGCACTTTATCCACTGTACTAACTCTCTGAATGTGCTCTGAACTAACAGTTCAGTATAGGGAGCTTATAAGTCCTAGTCAAAAGTCTGCTTCATTTTCTTACACACGCAGGTATTAGTCAGGGCCAACAAAACTGAGGAAATGAGAGTCTCTTTTAAGTCTTACAATGATAGTTTACAATTCCAATGCTTTGATTATATATATAGAGCTCATGCTTAGGTATTTAACGCACTCTGTAATTATTTCCTACTTTATATTTGGAACATCCCTTTAGCATAGGCAAGGAATAAATAGAATTATTCGCATGGATAGTTGTAGAACCCAATTATCTGAGATGTTAACTGACTTGCTAAAAGGTGAATAAAGGTCAGACCAAGACAGCCTTTGCTCTCTAACATGCTAGTGGTTTTTATTGTGAAATCAAAACTTTTAAATATAGAAAACCTTCACCTAGCTGACCCCACAAAGAATTTTAACATTTAGCTTTCAAGGCCCTGATCAGAAGAATGGGTTCTCCAACATTAGAGTTGTTTTTTTTTTAAAAAAGCAACCATTTTTGTCACAAAAATGTTCTTACCCAAGTGTTCATTCTATATCATCACCACTTAAGTGGTGATCATAACAGTATTAGCTCTACTGAGAAGCTTGTCAAAAGGAGCTGATCCCAGGCTCCCAGCTCAAACTCGCTGCATTAGACTCTGCATTGGAATGATTTTCTCCCAGCATCATGCTTGAATATTCAGGTCTGAGTCTCACTGCTGCAGAGGGAAGTTTTTTAGGCAGAGTAAGAATTCTCACCTAAGGTTCTACCTCCATCGGAGGGCATGTATGAAAACCGACCTCGGCTCTTCCAGGATATGGACCCTGCTTTATAGCCACCATGACCCTGCACCCAACTCTGCTCTGTTGCCTAGGTCAGTGACAGTGTCTCTGCCCTAGGCCAGCTGCAGCTTCTCAGCCACAGATGCTGAGTCTTGCCATGACAACTTGCTGCTGCTGTTTAAGCTGCTGACCCTGTGAATGCTGGACAAGGACACTTCACCTGGAGACTGAGTTCTTTTAATTTGGAGCAGGCAGGAAACTCCCATCCTGATATTCCTGCTGGGAACTGTATTTAAAGAATAAAATTGGGCTTTCCTCTCTTAGATTTCCCCTGCCAGTGTTAGATCAAAGATCTCTCTTTTGATTCTTTTTTGATTCTTTTTTTTTTTTACTTTTTGGGTCACACCCAGCGATGCTCAGGGGTTACTCCTGGTTCTGCACTCAGGAATTACTCCTGGCGGTGCTCAGATGGCCATATGGGATGCTGAACTCGGTTGGCTGCTGCATCCAAAGCAAATACCCTACCTGCTGTGCTATCGCTCTGGCCCACCCTCCCCTCTTGATTCTTAAGAAGCCTCCTTCCTACTTGATGGGATGAGCTGACTGGCATAACTACACAAGGCACTCCTCCGAAATCCCCAGTAAGGTAGCTTTTTTAAGCAGGCAAGATGCTAGGAGCATCAGGAAGAGCTGGCCTGGCTTTTTCTCTTAGGCTTGTAGCTCACTGGGACTCAGAACAACTGGATTTCTTTCTGGCTCAGAATTCACGAGCATGAGTATGGTCGTATAATAACAATATTTAGGACAGCTCACACATTTCCATCAAGCTTTTGCTTGATTCAATAAGACCACAAACCATTGTTTTCATTTTGTTTTTGAAACAGAACTTCAAGAATTCCAGACACTGTGTCAACCCTTCATGTAGACCCCTTCATTTTGGAATTCCTCATTAAGAAATAAAAACAAGGAGCACTTCTCTCTCCAACAGTCAGCAGTGGGTTCCCTTCAGCTCAGCAAAGGCACTAAAGGATCTGTTTTCAGTGGGGTGCTTTGGGTGAGCATGAGTGTGAAGTGGTTCTATTTTCAGGGCACCTAGTGATTTCATGGCATCCGCCTCGTGAGACATGAGTCCAAATGTTGCAACACCCTGAGCAACCTTACAGTTTATGTGTACCAAGAAGCCCATGTATTATTCATCTTCAGTGTTCTGGAAGAAACAGTCATCAATGAGGAAAATAGAAGGGTAAAGAAACTTGTTTAGCTTGAAACCTACTTTTTCTTTTAAATTACAAAAAACTCCTTTCCTCCCATACTCACACAAGTATCTCTTCCTTTCCCTTCAGATTTCTGGTATTTTCAAACACTGATTTTTTAAAAATTATAAAGTGCCTTTGTGGTGATGAGTGTAACCCACTGATGATATGTTTATAATATTGTTAACTTTTGTGAATTTGATGTACAGTGTTATCACACCTCACCACCACCAACGTGCCTCAGATTATCCATCAATGTCCTTATGCTATCTAGTCTACCTCTTCATTTCCCCACCTCCTAACACATACACACACACACACACACACACACACACACACACACACACATCACTTCCCATAGCTTGGTAATCTCAGTTTTGAGATTTGACATTGTTCGTTACTGTCTGCTACATTTTGTCTCTCTGTGTACTACAGATAAGTGAGATTATTAGTCATATGGCCCTCTTCCTCTGGCTTATTATTCTTAATATCACATACTGATTGTATAAGGGTGGAGTAAAGAACATAAAGTCAGTATCAAGAAGATGTATGTTCAGTAAATTTGTTTTCTTAAGACATGAACAAGATATCTAATTAAGGAAACTTATTAATATTTCTTAAAATTCCAGTCAGGAAGATTGTATTTTAGTCTTAGGTGTCTCACCCACAGGACAGTTAGTATATAAATATGAAAGAACTTGTACAGATCCATACAAAGTTAATTAGATGTGTACTTTTAATTTGATATAAAGGAGCTCATAAGAATTCTGGTCAAATAATATGACAAGTTTATTTTCTGGTTTACTCTTGCGATTAAAAGAAGCTAAATTTATCAGTACTCCACTACCAAAGGCTCATGGGGCTTCCTGAAAACATCTGGAGATAATTTCATATTTAAACAAAAATTCTTACAACATACTTGAGTAAATTCCACAAAGACTACAGACCATGATGCTCTATTTTAAATATAGCACAAAAATCATCCATTGCATTTTTCTGTATTATTTTTAGACATAGTTGAGACTTCATGACTTACCTGAAATACATTTGAAATAATATAATTATAATTTTTAATGAAAATTTTGTGTGAAAGTAGATAAGGAAGTGGAGAAACGTATTAGATATATGATTTTTGTTTTTATAAAGGAACATCTAGCATTTTTTGCTTGATTTCTGATACAGAATTTATCAGTTTTCAAGTCTATAAAAATCATCATGAATTAAGGTAATCTAAATGAAACAATTTTGAGAATTAATGCTATCATCAAAAACAATTGGAAGTATACTTTAGCACTGAAAATTAATATTCAGAATTACTGCATCGGTTATTTACAGCAGTTAGAATCCAAATTTGGTATTATCACTTGAGATTGCACTGCATTGAATTTTAGCCTTTATCTCCATGACAACAAGAACTAGTATGAAAGAGAAACAGATTCCTCTAAATTGGATAAAGTGTCTTTTTTTTTCTTGTCCATTTTATACTCATTAAAAAGTCCTGCTGGCTTTAGACTTAAAAACACTGTAGGATTTTGAAAACTCTATTATCTATTGCCTGGACTAATGTAACTCTGTTTTCCCTGCCCCTTTTCCCATAGCTATACTTTTCATTATACATAAATCATAAATGCACATATCATATTATTTTTCTAGTCAAAGCTTGCTAATGTCTCTCAGAAACACTGAAAACAGAAATAAATTCCTACCATATCAGACCCTTTATTTACTTATCCTTGGACTAACTTTCTCATCCTGTAGATTACCATTCTTTCACCAGTTCTGTTACAACCAGGTTGACCTTTGTACTCTTCTTCAAATGCTCTAAATTCATTTCTGCATCAGAGCTGATTTTCACTATTGTCTCTGGAAGTTTCTTCCTAAGCTATTAGCATAACTGACTTTTCACAGGTCTCTACTCAACTGTTATTTTTTGTTCCTTTTTCTAACCAGTTTATCCCACTTTATGTCATTACCAATTCTTTCACCCTATTTTCACTACTTTTTTTGACTTGAATGTTGAGTATATAATGTTATTCACAATTACATTAACTATAAGCTAATGAAAACTAAAATTTATGTGGGAAACATTTTTGTTTATTGTTATATTTTTTAGACTGTAGTAGTGCTTGGTATATATATATAGTAAGTGTTCAATATATCACTGTTAAATGATCAGACAAATCTTGAACTCTGTATTTTGTAATAATAGTCTTAGTTTGTTTTTGCATACAGGTGAAATAATTTGCTAGACGTGCTAGGAGATTTTAGGCAATTCTAAAAATTATTCCATGTTAGTTTTCCTTGGTAGAGCAATGAGTTGTCCTAAAGCTGTTTATTTTTAAAACTTACGTTTTTAGCTTTTATATAAACAGATGGTGTGAAATTTTAAATAAAATTTTAATAATTTATTTGAGTTCCTGTGGTCCCCATTTCACAATGATCATAGCAGCTGGTATCTGCTTGTCAAAAGGGATTAGGGATTACTTAGGAATCTTGGGAACAATTGTTTCCAACTGTGAATATGTTTTCATTTTACTTGAGTTTCAGTCTCTTGTTCTTCACTTACTAAAAAATTTCACATATTAACCATCATTCTATGAGAGGAAAAATGCTAAGCATTTGTGTGCTTGAATAAAAAGGTAATTAATGTAAATTATAATCATGGAATTAAAATATTCTGAAAAATTGATCTAATCTTTTTTTTTTTGCTTTTTTTTTAGGAGGGGGTCACACCCAGCGATACACAGGAGTTACTCCTGGTTCTGCACTCAGGAATTACCTTTGGCGGTACTCAGGGGACCATATGGGATGCTGGGAATAGAACCCAGGTCAGCTGCGTGCAAGGCAAACGCCCTACCCGTTGTGCTATCGCTCCATCCCCTAATCTTTTTATTTTTAAATTGTCATAGGCTTCTTCTCCTAAAATCAGGAAAAGAACCATTAACCATTTGGATTTGGGGATTTTTTATCCGCTGGGGATTGAACCTCAGTCATTCATGTGCAAGGCAAGTACCCTCTCCTCCATAATGTCGCTCTGATCCAATACAATTAATCTTTAAATTTTATCCTTTGTGTTCTGAATGTTCACTTGTATACAAGCAATAAACTGGTCAATTATTTCCCCAATTATAAAAGTCTCATTTATCTCCAAAGTTCAAATAACTAGTGTTGGAGTGGATGAGTTACTCTATCAGATGTGCTTGGAAGTATTCCTGAAAAAGGAACTGAAATTAGGTGAGTTTCAGGCAATTGAACATTGACCTAAGTAACTAGTATATATATATATAGTCTTGTTTCTTTCATAAACACACTTAAAATATGATGCATTACTAACTTTCTGCTGATGCAGAGGTCACTATAATGAAGAAGAACATGAAAAGTGCCAACTTTGAGTTGAAAAGTGAGTAGGAAATTTGTGAACTCAAAACTGAAGATTGTTTGAAAAACCTTAGCTAGTTTGTTCATTGTTTGCTGGCTGACTTGTTGCTCTTTGTTGAACAAGAATAATGTTCCCTGATAATAAGAATCCATATCTAATAAAGTCTGAAAGTCCTCTTTTGATAAGATAAAACAATACTGTAAAAAAGCAAAGTGGTAGTACTTTTTCCCTTTCACATTAGTACACAAAACAATGGCTCCTCCTACAGCTGATTAGATTCAATGTGATAATGAATGAGACCAGTTGTAGTTACTGAATAGGATTGGCAGAACACTAGATGAAGGACAACCATGCGAGCAAGCAGGGTTCCGCAAAGGATTCAGCACCATCGACCATATCCACACGGTAACCAAGCTCATTGAGGTTTCTCGGGAGTTCAAGATGCCGCTCTGCTTAACGTTCATTGATTTAAAGAAGGCCTTTGATTCTGTTGAGACGGAAGCGGTCATTGAAGCCCTAGCCAATCAGGGCATTCAAGCCCAATACATCAGGATCCTCCGTGAGCTGTATTGCGGATTCACTACCAGGATCTCACCATTCTACAAAGAAGTGATCGTTGATGTCAAGAGAGGGGTGCGGCAGGGTGATACCATTTCACCGAAACTCTTCAGTGCCACCCTCGAGAACATCATGCGACGACTGGAATGGGAAGGAATGGGAGTGAAGATAGATGGTCGGCAACTACACCACCTCCGCTTTGCTGATGACATTGTTTTAATAACACCAAACATCAGCCAAGCGGCACAAATGCTGGCCGACTTTGACCGTGAGTGTGGAAAGGTAGGACTACAGCTGAATCTTACGAAGACAATGTTTATGAGAAACAGCCTTGTTCCTGACGCCCCATTCGCTCTCAATGGAACGACCATCTCCGAATGCAACAGCTATGTGTACCTAGGTCGAGAGGTCAACATGAGAAATGACCTGGCACCCGAGCTGCGCAGGAGGAAGAGAGCGGCTTGGAACGCCTTCAAGAACGTCGAAGAAATAGCTAAGAGGACGAAGAACCTCCAGCTCCGGGCACATCTCTTTGATTCCACTGTTCTTCCTGCATTAACATATGCCTCAGAGACCTGGGCCCTACGCAAACAAGATGAGAACACCATTCAGGTCTCCCAAAGAAGAATAGAAAGAGCTATGCTTGGAATAACACGTTTCACTCAAATGAGAGAACGAATCCGGAGTTCTGACATCCGTCGACGATCAAGGATCAGGGACGCTGCCTCATATGCCAAGGTGTCGAAAATCAGATGGGCTGGTCACGTAATGAGATTTAAAGACGACCGTTGGACTAGAGCTGTTACTGATTGGATTCCACGGGATGTCAAGAGACTGCGTGGCCGCCCACCTACCAGATGGTCAGACTTCTTTGTCAAGATCATGAACGATCGGTTTGAGGCCCTCCATGTTCCCGGAGCGAAGAGATGCCATTGGGCTACACTAGCACGCGACAGGGACAAATGGAGACGTTACTGGCGCCCGCTCGAGCAAATTGACGACTAACGGGAAGTTAAGTGATTAAGTGATTAAGTGATAATGAAGAATGAATGGGCCTACAAGCCTAGCCCCTCTGACTATTGAAGCACAACCCTTAACTAGAATGGTTTCCTCCTTTCTTAGTTCACTGGTTTCCTACTTGAACTAAATAGTACTGTAGCATAATTTGGGGTTTCTTTCACACAATTTTGCCATTTAAACCATATAACATGGACCAGAGAGATAGTAAACTGGGTAGGGCTTTTGCCTTGCACATGGCCCACCTGGGTTCAATTCCCAGCATCCCATATGGTCCCTTCAGACTGCCAGGAGTGATCTCTTACCAAAGAGCCAGAAGAAACCCCTGAGCATCGCCCTCAAAAAATAAATACCCAACCCTATCCAAATAAACTCTACAACAAACACCCTCTGAATAAATCCTGACATGAAGGAATCTAACTTTTGCATACCTTTCTTCTCCTCAGCACCTGCATCTGATTTGAGGGTGTGGCTACTACTGTGGAGAGAATCTTTTGAGTCTTCATTTTCATCCAGGACCCCAGCAAAGCTGATCTTTCTCTCGTATCTATGTCTATCCAATTCAGGATCCAAACGAAGTCTGCAGCTCTCCAAGTCCTGAAATAGGAATGAAGGGCAAGTTCATGCTGACATCTATCTCCATAGCAAGGCATGGGTTTTATGGTAAACCTTCTGCTTGGAAGTACACAAAAATACATCTAAATATACTGTACTTTTTGTTTGTTTGTTTTGGTTTGGGGCCATACCTGGCAGAGCTCAGAGCTTACTAAGAGCTCTGCACTCAGGGATCATTTCTGGTGGTGCTCAGGGGATTATAAGGAGTGCTAGGGATCACTACCAGTCCTGTCTGATTTATTTTTACTTAATTCAAATTTTAGGTGGTAGCCCTAATTTTTCCCCTGAATTAGACAAACTCCCCTAATTCATAGTTTCTTTCCATTTCCTTGTGTACTTCACATCCCACAAACATAAGCTTCCTTACTTCAGATGCTTTCACCACAGCTTTGACTGCCTCTTCAATATTTATCTTTTTAAAAATTAAATAACTAATAAACAAGACTGAGAAAACAATGTAGGGCTTTCACCACAGCTTTGACTGCCTCTTCATAATTTACCTTTTAAAAAATTAAATAACTAATAAACGAGACTGAGAAAACAGAATAGGGGTTTAGAAACCAATCCTGTAGGTTGTGGTTGGTAGAATAACTGGAATCCTAAAGGTAGTTATCCCCAATCACGGCACGTATGAATATGCTAAGACACTGCATTGAGAATTCTGCACATACACTTAGATTTAAGTACCTTGCGATGAAAAAATTCTGGACTACCCTGGTGTACCCAACCTAATCACACAAATTCTTGAAAGTGGCAACTTTTCCAGACTGAAAAAGTGAGAGGAAGATTTCATTATGAAAGAAAGGAGAGGAACATTAAGTTGCTGGCTGTAAATGTGGGGACCAAGATACAAAACTAGGGTTGGCAGCCTGTAGAGTAATTTAAAAAAAGGGTCAGGTATTCGGGATATTCTCATCCTTTTCTCTGAGTTTATCAATATAAGAGGAAGGAGTTCTTTCACCATTTTATAGACAGAATGATACCATACCCTAAAGTACGCCCCAGGGAATGAAAATATTCAGTAGGAGTTTGGCCTAGTGTGAGACTCCAAGTTAAAATTACATCCTGGCCTGTGAATGGTTATTTATTTATGTTAAAGTTTATATTTATTATTAACATAAAGAACTATAGCACAGTGGTAGGGTGTTTGCCTTGCATGCAGCCAGCCAAGCTGAGCCGGGTTCAATTCCTCCGCCCCTCTCAGTGAGCCCGGCAAGCTACCAGTAGTATTCAATATGCCAAACACAGTAACAACAAGTCTCAAAATGGAGACATTAGTGGGCCCACTGGAATAAACCTTCAGATAAAAATATAGATGGAACCACACTCCATGGCATTCAGGAACTATTCTTGGCTACAGGGCTCAGTAATGTGACCTCTGGTAGGGCTCGAAGGACCATGTTCAGTGCTGGGGATCAAAGCAGGATCAGTTGTGTGCAAAGAAGAAATTACCCACATACTATCTCTCCAGCCGCAAAAATGTATTTTTAAAACACCAACTTGGAACAAGATTAAAGTAACACGTTACTAATAAATATAACTTTGGACTCTATTGTTTCTTCTTTTCACTTTGGGTCAATAAAAATCATTCCTTGGTAATCAAAAATTTATATTATGTCTACAAAAGGAACTACAGTGTAAAAATTTTTCTAGGAATATAATTGATTCTCTGAAGCTAATCCATTTAGGAAAAATAAGGATTTCTAATTTCCATATTGGCAGTCAAATTTAATTAAATATGTTTCATAGGAAAAACAGTAATAAAGTGATAAAACAATGCTTTTTTCATAGTTATCTTTTCTAATTTCTTTTACTTTGCCCAAATCCTGCATGTTCACAAAACTTCTGGAGCCGGCCCTGCTCTCTCAACTGTGTACCTTACCTTTCCCCACCCCTTACCTCCCTTTATTGGCAAATAAACTACTTTAAAAAATTGCAAAGGAGAGAGAGAACAAAAAGGAATGCCCTGCCACAAAGGCAGGGTGGGATGGGGGCCATGGCGGGTGGGAGGCATACTGGGATCAGTGGTGGTGGAGAATGGGCACTGGTGGAGGGATGGGTACTCTATCATTGTATAACTGAAACCCAAGCACAAAAATTTGTAAGTCTACAACTGTACCTCATGGTGTTTCACCAATAAAAATTAAAAAAATATATATAAAATAAAATACTCTTCTAGCAAAATAAAAATTTCTTATAGTGTTCAAAATGTGTATTTCCAAATCGTTTATCAATAAATTTTGGGTTAAATAAGCACAAATGAAAAGTATGATTAAAAATGAAGACATCTATGTAATTGCTGATATGAAAATGTGTGAGTTGAAAATGATTACAAAATGAATATAGGTTATATAATATTGGGAAGAAGGATGTATACTTATAAAAAAAGAAGAAAATGCAGTCAGACAGGAAAAAATATATATATAACATCTTGCAGGAATGTTCTTCAGGTTTTACCAGCTCTTTCTTAATCAATCATGACTTTCTGTTTTCTATCATAGAAAGTGACGATTTTGCCACAGGAAAAGTTTTATTTAATGTGTTGGTTTTGCTGCTGCAATATATTTATCTCTGTATCACACCCACATCCACCACAGCAACCATCACACCCCCACTCTCCTTATACTCTAAATGTTCATCAGTTCAGTCTTGACTTCTGTGATTATATTTTGCTTCTGATTTTTTTTAAATTTAAGAACACTTAGGAATCCAGTGTATATTCTTTATAGCCTAATTTTGTTGAATTCTGTTTGTAGCAACGATATCTAGCAAATATTTCACAAAAGCATTCATAAATAATGAAGGAAGTTATACATATTTATTGATCCTTTTTATTATTATGTATTTATCTGTTTAATGGTTGGAAATAATTTGTTTTAAATCCATGTTGTTGGTCACTGGTCATTAGTATTACTAATTTAACTGGGGGTTTAATTTTTTTAACCGATCTTCAATTTTATAAAAGAAATCACTATTTAAAAACTGTTTCTCCAGAGAGAGAAAACCCTAACAAACTGAATCAGAAATAAAAATGGGGATATCACAATGGAAACCAAAGAAATTCAAAAGATCATCAGAGACTACTTTGAAAGTCTGTATGCTACGAAACAAGAGAATCTAGAAGAAATGGATAAACTCCTGGATTCCTATAATCTCCCAAGCTGAGTCAAGAAGATGTGGAATACCTGAATAGACCTATTAACATCAAGGAAATTGAAACTGTAAGCAAAAGTCTTCCCAAAAACAGAAACCCAGGTCCAGATGGATTCACTAGTGAATTTTTCCAAACATTTAAAGAGGACCTACTGCCACTCCTTCTCAAGTTTTTCCAGGAAATTGAAAAAATAGAAACTCTCCCAAACAGTTTCTATGAAGCCCATATCTTTCTAATACCAAAAGGAAATAAAGACACCACAAAAAAAGAAAACTACAGGCAGATATCCCTGATGAACACGGATGCGAAAATTCTCAACAAAATACTAGCAAATAGTATTCAACAACTCATCAAAAAGATCATACACCATGACCAAGTGGGATTCATCTCGGGGATGCAAGGATGGTTTAACATTCGGAAATCAATCAACATAATCCATCATATCAACAAAAAAGATAAAAATCATATGATCATATCAATAGATGCAGAGAAAGCAATTGACAAGATCCAGCACCCGTTTATGATGAAAACTCTCGCCAAAATGGGGATAGAGGGGACTTTCCTCAATATAGTTAAAGCCATCTACAACAAGCCTACAGCAAGCATCATCCTCAATGGGGAAAAACTGAGAGCCTTCCCCCTAAGATCAGGAACTAGACAAGGATGTCCACTCTCTCCATTACTGTTCAATATAGTAGTGGAAGTACTTGCAATAGCGATTAGGCAAGAAAAAGATATTAAGGGCATCCAGGTAGGGAAAGAAGAAATTAAGATCTCACTATTCGCAGATGATATGATACTATACTTAGAGAACCCTCAAACCTCTACCAAGAAACTCCTAGAAACAATAGGCTTGCATAGTAAAGTGGCAGGCTATTAAATCAATACCCAAAAGTCCATGGCTTTCCTATACACAAATAGTGAGAGAGAGAGAAGAAAATGACATGAAGAAAACATTCCCATTCACAATTGTACGCCAGAAAATCAACTACCTAGGAATTAGTTTACCTAAGGAAGTAAAGGACCTGTACAAAGAAAACTACAAAACACTCCTTCTTGAAATAAAAGAGAATGCAAAGAAATGGAAAAATATCCCCTGTTCATGGATCAGTAGAATTAATATTGTCAAAATGTCAATACTTCCCAAAGCACTGTACAAATTCAGTGTGATCCCTATTAGGATACCCTTTGATATACTCTTCAAAGAAATGGAGCAAACACTCCTGAAATTTATATGGAACAATCAGACCCCTCGAATAGCTACAGCAGTTCTTGGGAAAAAGAAAATGGGAGGAATTAACCTCCCAAACCTCAAACTCTACTACAATGCAGTAATAATTAAAATAGCCTGGTACTGGAACAAAGGCAGAGCTGCAGACCTATGGAACAGGGTTGAATATACTGACATCTCCCCCAAACACATGATCATCTAATCTTTGATAAAGGGGCAAGAAATGCGAAGTGGAGTAAGAAAATCCTTTTTAACAAATGGTGCTGGCAAAACTGAACGACTACATGCAAAAAACTGGGCTTAGATCTCTGCCTAACACCATGTACAAAAGTAAGATCAAAATGAATCAAAGACCTCAACATCAGACCAGAATCCATAAGGAACACTGAAGACAAAGTTGGCAAAACCTTCCATGACATTGAAGCTAATGGTATCTTCAAAGATGTCACACCACTGGCCAAGCAAATGAAAACAGAGATAGACAAATAGGATTGCCTTAGACTAAGAAGCTTCTACACCTCAAAAGAAACAGTGACCAAAATACAAAGACAGTCTACAGAATGGGAAAGGATATTCTCCAAATACACATCCGACAAG